TTGTAGGAGAAACTTGGCCAAAAGTTTTTAACCTGAGTGCATCCTAAACCAGGACTTTGGGAAGGAGAGGTCCCAGGTCTGTGCACTGCCAGCACAAAGCCAGAGCTGGCCCCAGAAGGGCAGGGTGGCAGCTGGGTGAGACAGCTCACTTGGTCTGTCCCCATGGGTGCCTGCATCCTGCTAATGGCATCCAACATCACACAGGGCAAACACAGCACCATGCCCACTGGTCTCTCTGCCAGAGCTGAGTCTTGCAGGTGACACTTGTGACACAGGCCAGAGATTTAGCCCCGGTCCTGCACCCATTCCAGACCCGCACCCGTCCTGATCCTACACCCATCCCAGTCCTGCACCCATCCCAGACCTGCCTGTCAGCTGCCAACTCCCCTTCCACAGAAGTCTGGCCAAAAATTAAGAAGGTCTGAGCCCAGCCGCTCCTATACCTGGGCACCCACCTCACCCTGTCCCTCTGGGTCTCATTTAAGAAGCAAATGTGGATCAAGATCACCTTTCTCCCGTGCTGCCTTCCCACGGAGGCTCCTGGGGCCACCCCCCAGGCACCATCCCCACCTCTCCTGTCTTCTCCATCCCATAAAGCTATTCAGGGCTTCAGTGCCTAAATAACCACACTGAGCTGGCTGGTATCGTGAATCCTGGCAGCCACAAAAGCAATCGAGGCAGAAAGCAGAGCAGGAGAAAGGTGGGAGAGAGGCCACGGGGATGGTGCTGTGCACAGTGCATGGCACAGATCCAGCACAGCGCCACTCTGCTGCCACCGTGTCCTACCCTCACAGTAATTAAGGGAGCTAAAATAAATAGGGATGGTTTCATCCCTGCAGGGATTAATTCCTTTTCCCGGGGTGGAGTGTGCTTGCAGGGCTGCCCCAGAGGTTGGGGATGAGACAGCCAAAGTCAGCAAGTTGGAAATGGAAATTTCCCAGGAAGCGAGGAAATCGCTTCTTTCTGGGGCGTAACCAGCCCTCGCCCTCATAACAACTTCACTTGCCGCTGTCGTGTCCCTAAATAGCTCCTTGAAGCAGCTGCTGGGAGTTTACATCTCCTTTGCCTCTGCTCCCCTCCCGGCCTCAGGAAATGGGCTCACACAGCCCCGATTTCCAGAGCAACTCACCCAGAGAGGGTGAGTGACCACCACTGCAGGGACCCGGGGGCACTGCTGCCTGCCCCAGCACAGCCCTCTGGCTACGGGCAATATTTTGGGGAGTACAGAGTCCCAGGAGGTTTGGGTCTCTAAGGTCAGGAGTGGAAACCACCAAGCCTTTGGTGGGTCTGGAGCCAAGGATGCCCTTGGGGTCCTTTGGGGTGATGTTGTGCCAGGAGGGAAGTTATTCCCTGGGTGCAGTGGGGCTGGCAACCCACTCCAGTGACCCCTGAAGTTGGTACCCTGATCCCAAAGTGTTCGCCATCCCTGCCTGGGCCTGGATCGGGAGAGAAGAGGAGCACACGAGGCACAAGCAGATGTGCCCGGGAGACCAACGGCAAGGGGAGGGTACGCACAGGGGCTGACGCTTGTGCTCAGCCAAAGCGCTGAAGTCAGCACTCTCCAGAGCCATCTGTTCCCAGCGAAGGCCCAGCACAGATGGACTCGCCCAGGCTCCCGGCAGCGGATGCCGCAATTCAGTGATTCATGCAGCGAGGGGCCGGGGACACTGTAAAGCCGGACACTGCCTCTGCGGCCATGCAAACTCTGGTGCTGGTGCTGGAAAATTATGTATTAGCCACTCTGCTGAAAAGCTTTTTCAACAGTTTTTCTGGTCGCATGAGCTGGCTTTTAAATGGCAGCAGAGCTCTTCACTGCTGGGCCAGAGACCTGACTCAAGCTGGTTTTTCCCTTATTCCAGAGCACAGGTAACCTCCCACTTCACGGCCTCTAAATGCTCATTTGAAAAGGCCAAGTTAGCAAGCAGCCTATTAGCAAAGCCAGCGAGAGACTCTGCACTTGTCTCCCGGGTGTAATTGCAAAATGCAGCATCAACAGGTGCTTCTGGGGTGTCTCAGACCTGTTTCTTCCCTGGATTACTCCAAGCTGCCCAGCAGCCCATGCAAGGCCGGAGCCCGAGGGCAGAGCAGAGTTAGCCTGCACAGCGCTGCAGACCAGGGAAACTGAGGCAGAGCAGCGCAAAGCAGCAGCGGGAGGTTGCAAAGACCCAACTGAACAGCACTTACTGTGCAATCACTTCACACTGTGATGGGCTCTTTCTGCTCCGTACTCAGCCTGGCTGCCTTTCAGAGCAGCACACAAGACACCAAGGAAAGTGTGGTGTGAGGAGCTGCAGGAAGGGAACCGTGCAGCCTTGCCTGGCCGGTCTTGAGGCCATTCCTCACAAGATGCTGATCTCCACCAGCTTTGTGCAGTCTCATTAAAGCTAAGCTGAGCCGTAACTCATCGGAGCAGGGAAGTCCACATTAAGAGTTGGCAGCAACGACTTCAGCTTTTCAGGCCTCCTCCCAACAGCAGACGGGTGTCACTCACAGCATCACCTTCCCAGCTCCTTACCCACTGCAGAAAATGGCTTTGGAGCTGCTCTTCCGGCTGCTTGGGAGAGTGGAGAGCAAGGAGGTGGCTGCCCAGCGAGGCTGTCCTCTTGCCCCTCAGACCACCATGGGGGGACATATCTGGAGCAAACACCCACAAGGTTAATGGTGCCTAAAAGCAGCACCCAAACATGAACAGGAGTCTACAAGGAGCTTTGTGGGCAGCCAGACCCCGGGGGTGCTGGGTCACCCCTCCATCCCCGCTCAGCCCCTCTCTGCTCCCCATTACCAGCCTCCCAGCGCCACCTAACGACACGGCAACCAAGGATAAGGACCTTCACGGGGAAGCCTGACGCATCCCACTCCCCAGAGAGAAGGATGGAGAGCACCAACAGTGATGGGGAGGCAGGAGGCAGCAGGACACCCAGCTGGGGCTTGGGGATGCACGCAGCAGAGGAAGGAGGAGCTGGAGGTACATAATCGTAATGATCCTTCCTCTGCCCATGAGGCTCAGTCCTCCATCACTGCCCTTCTCTGACCTTGATTATCCCATGGCTTTCCCACAGCCCGGCATTAACCCCAGGGCCTTGGCCAAGTTCTGGGTTGAGTAAGGACACTGGGCTCAGCAAAGACGCTCCCTTTAATCTGTTGTCACAGCCCAAAAACTACTCTGAAGCATCACCAGTTTGGGAACAGCCGTTTGCCATGCTCAGCGCAAGCATGGTGGCCTGTATCATGGCTACAAAAGCACCCTGACATCAACATTCAAGGCCATGTGGAAGAAAACCCCAGGGAAGAGCCAGCTCATGTCTTCCCGATACCTGCAGATTTGATGCAGCCACAACAACCCTTTCACCATCACGTTTCTGGCTGGGCTATCTACCGAAACGGCTGCTCCCCGCCCTGAGCGCAACGCCCTCGCCTCCACACCCCCATTTCCAAAGCACTTATTCGCCTCCAAACCCAGAGCTGATGTAATCTCCCGCTCAAGAGTTGAGCATTAGGACTGCATCAGCTGCAAGACGTAACGAGAGCCACATCACACAGCTGTTCGACAAAAGCTTTATCGCTCGTTTGCGTACGAGCTCCCAGTATCACATTTCCTGAGTTTCTTAATGAGCTTGCAAATGAGATTTAAATAGAAAAGGAAGGGGGGAAAAAGCAAAAAAGAGAGAAGCCAAAGATCTTCCTTCCCTAAAGTTGGACCAGAGATGAGGTGGGAGTACAGTGCCCGGTGGGCAGGCCCTCTACCATGGGAGAGGGCTCAGCAGAGATGGAGGTTGAGAATGGACCTGAAACAAACCCTCACCAGCTGCCCTGGCTCGATCTACCCTCTGCCTCCATCATGGAGCCTAATTTGTTTCTAACACACAGTCACCAGCAACTGCCATTGTCACCGTTTACACAGGTCAGAGAGGAATGGTTGCAATCCTGCAGGGCTCCCGCGGGGAGTGTGGGGGGTCAGGGACAGCGTGGGTGGCAGGACAGCCAGGGGAGGGGGCCACGCTGAAGCGGCCCCTGCACCACGGATAAAGAGGAGATTATGGCTCACAGCTTGTAATCTAGCTTAAAACCTGACACTGTCACCGTAGTCAATTCGGGCTAAGAGAAGCATTTAATAAGCTTCAAAACACACAGGCCAAAAAAAACCCCACCAGTGAATGAAGTGAAAGGGCTCAAGATATTGCTTGTCCCAGTCAGCGCTGACAGGTACCAAGGAACACAGGATCCCTTATGATCTGGAACAAGGCAATTACACACTTGTTAGCCCAATACACCCCAAGAGCTAGGACCCAGGCTCTGCTGGGGCTTAACTGTGGGAGGCAGAAAGCAAATTAATGCCCTTGTCTGTTTGTTTAGAGCTCACAACAAGTGGAGAGCAAACGGTCCCTCCCTGCACAAGAGGAGATGCCTTGCCTTGGGACATGTTGCAGGAGACATGGCGCTCAGCTAGCTGCTCCAAGATTAAGGCAGTCACAGACAAAGAAGCCAGACTCAAGCGGCACGTCCAATTTGGCTGTCCTGGAAGGGTTTATTTAAAAAACAATTATTATTAAAAGAAGCCTGCTCGGGCACGAATGACAAGGCAACGAAGCCATTTGGCTTGAGGCTTGAAGGGGAGACAGCAAGACACAAGGAAGTTTCTCTATGCGACTTGCCATGGGGAAAGTGCCTGGCCAGGACTCCTGCCAGGTGCACATCTCCCCTCTCCTGCACCAGCCAATTTTTTAATGCTCGAAGGACCCGAATGACAAGAATTGCCCTAGGGGGAGCAGCCGGCTGCAGAGATGCAGGGCCAGCCAGCAGCCTCAGATGTTTTGAAACACTCACTTTAGGAACCCAGAGTTCATAGTTACTAGAAAGGCTCAAGAGTCACACACCTCCCCAGAGCGGCCACTAGTCTCGGGTACAAGCCCTGTGCTCCCAGACCCTGCCCGTAACCCACTGGCATTGCCCCAGGACAGTACTGGCTGGACCAGTGCCACATTCCCATTGCTGCTGCTGCATTAGTGACCGATCAACTGCAGCATCTCCTGAGGATCCACTATCTTCTCCCGGGGTTTGCCAGCAGCTTTGCCTCTTGCCACTTCAGCAGCATCTATCTTCTCCCAGTCCGAGAAGGAAACAGGACGGACCCCTGGGGTGACAATGAGAGATGGGAGGGAGAAGTTAACCAAGTAAAAACGAGTTCAGCCTTACCTTCCCATTAACAGGGACCTGGTGTGCAAGCAGACCCTCCCCTTTTCCGACACGGCGTCAGACTTCAGCCTCACAAAGGAATAATAATTTCTAATACCATGAGGAGAGGGATGGCAGGTTCCAGTCGACTCGCATCAGTCAGACCTTTGCAAGCCGTAACAACGGTGAGCACGACACCACCTTAGGGGACAAAACACTTCCAGTTCACTGTTAAACCTCAGACAGTTAAGAGGCAAAACACACACACTTTGAATACCTTTAAATACAGCAACAGCAAATTACTCTCCTGGGCATTTTAATCTTTCCCCCAACTTGCCTGGAAGGATTGCTAGGAAAACCACTCAAGAGCAATAGCTCGCTGTCTAGGCAGCTGACAGCAACATTTTACCCAAGGTCCATGCTGCTTTTAACAGTCCTTCCCAGAAAGTCATTAACCTTAGCAATGACACCGAGTTTGAAGGAATTTAAGTCCCGCTCCCCCTGGGCTTTGGAGCAATGAAATGGCAGCAGGACACATTTCCTTGGTTCGGATTCTGCTCCTAAAAATGGCTCGCAGGACTCACTGCCCCAGGATACCCCGATCCAGGAGTTTGGCTGCATTGTATCTTCATGTTCACTGCTATACCAGCTTACACCCCCACCACTGACCTCGGCTGCGCAGGATGCTCTCCACGGCCCCAAAGCTTTCTCTGGAGGCGGACATGTCCAGTATACCCGCCTGGAGATCCTCCAGCACAGACTGGGCAGTGTCAAAGCTGTCGTTCATGGTGGTGATGATTACGCCCGTGGGTCCCCTCTTCACCCATCCGCTGCAATACAGACCTGCATGGGAACACAAAGCAGCCAGGCTCAGTCCAGCATGTGGTTGTGGACCCTCCTGGCTGCAAGTCCTTGCCCTGTTCCTGGGTGTCACAACAAGCTGCAGGCAGTGGAAGAATCCACCCCTGTGGTGGGGACAGATTGCGGCCCTTCAATGGTGCTGTCACAGCAATTTGTGTAACTGCAGACCAGCACTAAGCAGCTGTATGGGCTGTATCACTTTAGTAACAGACTCCAAGGCCTAGTGAAAGCACCGTAACTTTCATCACTGTTTTCTGCAAAACCAGACACCCCTAACATGAGCTGGAGATGGGCCAGGTCTTAACGCCTGACAGACGCAGCTCGTTTCTTCAGTTTCCACTCTCCGACTGAGGTGTGCGACCGCCTTGTATCAGTGCCCTTGGTGAACGGAGCTTCCCACCTCAAAGCCCCCAACCCACCAGCTGCGCTCGACGCGTCTCACGCATCCCTCTGTGGATACAGACCTGGGACACCCTCCACTCTGCCCGAGCTGTTGGGGATAATGCCGCGCCGGGTGTCAAAGGGTACCGCTGGGTCCAGGGGCAGGCTCCGGTAGAGAGCACTAGCCCGCACTCCAGCTCCTCCACGTCTCCAGTGGGAATGGCTTTGGCGGAGTCACCTGAGCCCTGAGAGGGAGGAAAAGGCTGCTGACCACCAGACAGTCACCAGATGCAGAGCAGCAGCCTCCTCTGGTCCCCTTTGGCATCCTTGATCCCTGGGTATTTGCTAAAGGCCTTTCTGCAGCAATAGCAGCGTAGAAAGAGCTCCCTTTAGATGGGGCAAGGCTTGTCGGCAGTACCAGCTTCCCTGAAAGCCTGCCAGTGGCCACTCCCACCAAAGCTGTCTTTGGAGAGATTCCCAAGGGCTGCAGGGATGCAGCAGCGTCCTGCTCCATCCCTGCAGCCCTGCTAGGGCCATACCAGCCCCGCCACGAGCCCATACCTCCAGGCGGGTCAGGGCCATGCGGACGCCCCTTGCCCGCCTCCCATCAGTGGTCGGCAGCACCTCCTGGGGGCTGCGCTGGAACTTCAGGCCCCACTCCCGGGGGACTGCTGCCTGCGCCACCACTGCCTGCACCTCCATTGCCTTCTCCCCAGGCTTCTCTAGGGCTGTTTTAATCATCAGCTCAGTCAGTCGCTTCCTGGGCCTGGGGGCATCTAGGAAGAAAGAAAGAGCTTCAGGTCAGGAACCTCAGCAAAAGCCCCTCAGGACATGGCACAGAGCCGAGGTCATGTCAAGGCAGTTTCAGTTGTATGTGAGTGTCCATTTGGAGTTTGTCATGCGAGTCTGACACCTTTGAGATGACAAACTAAAAGTCAAAGAGGAGGCGGAGCTCAGAGGAGCTCAGGGGAGCTCCTGAGGCTTGGGCCAGTGGGACACACAAATCAAAGCCTGCAATTTTGATATCTTGCTGGTGCTCAGAGGCAGCAGCCTGTGGAGAAGAGCAAGTCTCGGGACACCCTTGAACTCAGTGTTTTCTTTTTAGCTCTGCAGGAAGCTCTTAAATCAACAGCCTTGGGATCTCTCCTGCAGGGTTCCCCCAGCCCTCCCGAATCTCCTGCCCTCATCACTCGGAGAGTAAGCACCACTCCCAAGCAGCAAAGTGGCTGCACAAAGAAAGAAACAGGCTGTTCCCTTGTCTTTGTGGCCTCCTAGCACTCCAAGGACGAGCCACATCATGGTCACCTGGCTTTCACACACCGTGCATTAAGCACAGGGCAAAGAGTTTCTCTGATGCACGTTCTGAGCATCTCCAGATCACTCCTGGACACTCGCCTGACAAGGTGAGCCCCTGGCTGGAGGAGCATTGTGCATTTCCCTCACCTTTAATAGCATTTTCGAGGCCTGTGAAGTCAGCAGGGTTCAGAACAGGTCTGGCACCAGGCAGGTTTATCATCTCCCGCAGCTCCTGGGAATTGCAGGCAGGAAGATGTTACCTCCAGTGCAGAGAGGTTGTCCAACAGCCCCATGCTGTCTTCCCCTAGCAGTCCAGGTTAGGCGGCAGCAAATGGGTGCAGGAAGGACGCCTGGTTCCCCACCCATCCCTAGACCACCTCTCCCCACCAGGGACGGGCAGCCTGGGGCTCAAAGCTGGGAAACATGGCTGCACTCCAACACCCCCAGCCTTACCTTGATAGTGAAAGCAACTTGGAGAGGTCCCCTCCTCCCAACCAGCCAGACGCGCTTCACTTTGCTGCAGGCAAGAGCTGCCAGGGAGCCATCAGTGATGTCTGTCTTCTGCAAGAGAGAGACAGGACAGTGGGACGAGGGCAGATCTGGAGGGAGCAGGGGGGAAGGCACAGCTTCTGAAGATGAAAAATCAGGAGAAAAGCAGGCTGTGCATGCAGAGAGCCTGGGCAAGAATGGAAAACAAGTCATCTCCCTTTGCACAGAGCTATTTGCACAGCTGGTCCCTCATCATTGAATGTACTTTCCACGGCAATAACACACTAGTGGTAATAAGCCAGCACCCCATGAGATTGCCTCAGGGGATCCACCCAAGGCAGGTTAACCTTGGGGCTAACAGAGCAAAGCCTTCCAGTGATCTCAGTTTTGGGGTGCCTGCAGATGCTGGGTGACTTCCCAGCTCAGGACATACAGGCATTTGGGTGAAACCCACTGCAAACAACAGCTCAAATCACTGCCTGCCCGCCCCAGGCAGCTCCAAGCACAAACACAAGCATCGCCAGGGCTCGACCAATGGTTGGCATCTTGCAGCAACCCTATGCTGTTTCAGTCATGTGCATGTATCTAGATCACAAGATCATCCTTTCCAGAGAAGATACAATGGCAGGGACACCAGGTAACCAGGATAAACCATTCCAGACCAATATTCTTAACAGGAAACTGCCTGCACACTCTGGCACTCATTTCCAGTGCCGTGTCCTTCACAGCACTGCTCCCACAGCTGGGTTTAGCCACTGGTCGGCAGTGCCTCCAAGATTTTTTTTTGTTATTTAATTTAGATATTAATACAGGAAGTTGTTGCACAGCTGTAATGAACCTCGTGGTATTTCTCCAGGAGGAAAAGCCTTTGCTGCCAACATCTGGGGCAGCAGCTCTATGGAACAGCTGGTGCACACCAGCTCCCAGCTGTCTATAGGGGAGCACGGCAGCGGGAAGAGAGGTCCACGAGCTTGGACCAGCCACCAGTATGCCCAGTGCTACCAACAGGAACCAGGCTGCTGCCCTCAGCTACAGCAGAAAAAAAAATCCCAACAGGAAAAGCTTCTAGTTAGGTGGTGGAAAAGACTGAGAAGCTCCTCCTTTGTTTCTCATAGGAAAGGAAGGGATAAAGGTCAATTGCCAATCTTTTAGGTACGAGCAGAGCAATCCAGAGAGCTCTGCAACGTTACCCAAGGCACGGCCTTAGCCTTGGATCACACCTTATGGACTGTGAACCCATAGGTGCACCCAAGGAGCAACAGGCTTCCTTGGTGAAAGTGCCCAAAGACAGGAGAGTCTGGGGTTTTGCTGAGATGGGTGGGAACCAGCACCCACCCAGCAAGGAGAGAATTTGGGCCCCAGGCTGCCTTCACAGTGTGGGGCACCCCTGTGACTCACCCTGAGGAGATCCAGCGGGGACAGGAGGATCCGGGCAATATCCAGCGCCACATTGCCGTGACCCAGAATCAGCGCTGTCTCGCCGCTCAGGTCAGGCTTCAGCTGTGGGGAGAGGAAGACCCAGCCATGAGTGAATCCACCTGGCCGTCATGATGCGCGCCCCCTCAAACCCGCTCCCACCACCCAAATTCCCTTCCAACCCTCTTTTCCCCAAAAAGAGGTGATACAGATGGGGAAACTTCACACCAGCTTTCTTGCCAAGCAGACACAGCAACACAGCCGCTCTGGGCACCCCAGCTGATCCCTCTCCCCCTTTTTCTGCGATGGCATCTCTGGGAGCAGGAGCCGTTTTGGCCAAAAAATCTCCTCAGGCCAAAGCAGAGCATCACCCCCACCAGGTTCCCATCTGGCCCGGTCTAAACGTGCTGCCAACCTACAGATTCAGCTAATCCATTCTCACTGATGTGCAAATTGCTCACATTTCTACCATCTAAGAAGGATTTAATGTGGTGCCTGCTAATCTTTTCCAATTGCGGGCCTTTCAGGACTTAATCTGGAGCTGAATGCCTACGTTTGGGTGCAGGACAGGGAGGAAGGGCAGGGAAACACACTGCTGTACTCACATCCTGGTTCTCGGGCAGCCCGTTGTACCAGCCCACGAACGCTCGGGCCGAATAAACACCGGAGAGGTTCTCCCCTGGGATCCCCAGGACCCGGTTACCTTCAGCACCGTAACTCTGAGGAGGGAACAGACACGGTCAGAGATGTCACTGTGTGCAGGGCTTGATACCAAAACACAAATCTCCCCTTCCAGCTGCTGTCAGGGACCCTGCATGGCTGCCAACCCTGGCCAGGATGCTCAACGGAGGGGCTAAACGCAGCCTCAGCATAGGGGCTACATCCACCCCATCCCCCTGAGCTGCGAAGCCAAACTTGACCTCCTTGGGCCAAGGTCGAGCATGCCAAGCTGAGGACTGAACAGGAGGGACAAATCCATGTCAGGCTGAAACAGGTATTGGGAATCACAGGAAAGAGGTTCCTCAACTGCTGCCCCTTGCAGCGGGGTTTCAGAGACCCGCATTTGATGCCATGCTCTAGCACATGCTCCCTGCAAGGCTTTGGACAAGCCTCATAGCATCTGAGCTGTCCCGAGGCTGGGGAGAGTTTATCACAGTAATAAGGCACCCAGAAATGCCTCACCCAAACCCTTTTCCCGAGATCCCAGTGGGGAATAACCCTGCAGACCTTCCCCGCGACTTCTGGGGAACTAAGGCAGCCCGGGCTCTGAGGCATGCTACCCACCAGCACCACAGCGTGGTAAGCCTGCTGCAGCTCTGCCACCGTGACGTCCCTCCCCACGGTGACGTTTCCGTAGTAGGCGCAGCGCTCCGAGCGCGCTGTCTGCGTGAAGGCGTTGATCACATTCTGCCAAGATCAAACAAGTGCCAGGGAGTTACGTCCAAGCCACAGCCAGGGCCAAGGTCTGCTGCTGACAGGAGGTCCCCGTTCCCGTCCCCCCCAGCCTTGAGATGCTTCTCCCCCTCTCTGAGTCAGTTATTCTGAGACTCTTATATAACAACAGCCACAGATAATTCACAGGGAGATAAGCACAGCTGTGCCTTGGCACTCTTCCCTTTGTTGAATGGAAAATCTTTCTTTTGCACCCGCCTGGGGAGGACAGGACCCTTTCAATACCTTCAGCCCCTCTGAGTAAACCCCGCTGTATGAGAAAACTTCCCAAAGGTGAGGCTTGCGAGGGAGTCCCACCAAACAACCCCTTCCATCGAGGGTGCTGCCTGCCAGACCCCCGCTACTAGCCTCTCATCTCTACCCTTCCTGAAACCCACTTCATCAAGAGAGGACACAGGGCAGGATGGTGCCCAAAGCCTTCTGAGCGATCAGGGCTACACAGCAAAACCACCACTTCTTCCCCTGCAGCTCCAGCCAGACTCAGCCTGGTAACAGGACAGATACCACGGTACTGTGAAAGCTGCCCCAAACCCACATCCGTTATGTCCGTGCCTCATCTCTCAGCTCAAAGGGATTCAAGCATTTTGGTCTGATGATCTCCAGGGATTAGAGGAAACCATTGCAAGATATTGCTGTGTCTGGATCTCCTGTGTTTGGATCTCCTGCGTCCTACTACTGCAACCACCTCCACTCCAGCTCAGACACAGCAGATACCCCTGGGTACAACTCAAGCCCACTGCGAGGCAAAGGAAAAAGGTTGATTTCAAAGAGCTCCTTGGTTTAACTTCTCCTTGCCCAGGTGTGCACTTACAGCCCAACTCCATCACCCCTAATAGCAGATACGTGTGTTGCCAGGCACTCAGAACGGGTACGGACTGAGCAGAGGCAAACAGCAACTGCAGCGAGCGGGCAAGATTCTGCCAGCGTGAAGTTTCCTGGTACAAAGAAACCCATGTGTGCTCCTTGGTCTTGCTCTAGGCCAGGCTGACCAGCACCAGGAACAGCACTTCCTGTCAACAAGCCCCTGTTTTTGACCTGCTGTCCAGAGCCCTAATGCCAGATGCCCGTATCACCTGGCCGTGGTCTTGCTGGGTCTCGGCACGGACAAGGAGATTTGGATCTCTCCAGTGTGACAACTCCATACCTCAGCAAGCCTTGAGGCACCACGAAGGACAGCGACTGCCTGGCCTGCACCCACTACCATCACCGTGTTCAACTGCAAGGGTGAGGGGCCGAGCCAGCACTAACCTTCACTTCGGGGTGGTCTGGGGCCACCCCAAAACGGACAAGCCCGAAGGGAACAGGCAGCTTCTCATAGATGTCCACTCGGGCCCCGCCATGGTGCTGCAGGAGAAGGAAGTCACAGTTAAGGGATGAGGACAGAAAGGCCATGTGAGCCCAGCAGCACAGGAGGGACACGCATCGCTCCCCTACTGCTGGGGGAAATACAGGGCAGGAGGGAGGGTTGCACTAAGATCCCAAAGTCAGAAACAGCCTCTTCCAGGCTCTTCCATGCACAGGATGATTCTGTACCTGTTACTGCCAGCTCAGATCGCAAGGTGTAGCAGACAACGTGACCCAAACCATTATAAAGTACATCTCATGGGGGGCTCCATCCTCCTACCCACCCCACAGCCCCTCTTCCACACTAACCTGGTGGCTATCCAGTACCCAGGGGCTGACAAAAGGGACCCCACACTGGCTGGGAAGCACCCAGCACAGCACCCTGGGTGCTGGTGGACCTGCTGGGCCATCTGCCAGCCCCTGGCAGAGGTGCCCATGCCCTGAGATTCTCCTGAGCTGAGTCACCTCAGGGTCAGAGCTTTAGACAGATGTTTTGCTGTAAGGCTTTTGTTATCTTGTATTTTGAGTCAGTCTCTTCCCAGAGATTAAGCAGCCCTGAAATTTGTCCCTGAGGCTTAGTAACAGTGATTTTCCGACACGTATTGGAGACAACACAGCATGGTTTAATGACAGGGTTAAGCGGCTGCATCTCTGGTCATGCCAGTAGCCCAGTTCTGTGCTCGGGTCTCATTTCCCAACAGAGATGTGACCATCCAAAGCACTAACGTTTACAGACACCAGGCAAAGGATCACCAGTGTGTCCAGTTCAACTGGGGGAGAAGGAGGCAGGAGAGCAGGTCATCTGCGTTCCCTTTAACGCACAGTTAATGTCACCCCCATTGGGTGACAACAGCTCCGAGCAAGGCAGATCTCTGCTGCTTATTTGATTCTAGAAAAATCACTTGGGCTGAACTCGCAGCAACCCTGGGTCCAGCCTGGATGGCCCAGGGGCAAGGCAGGGACAGTGGTGCCCACCCCAGGCGAAGGGGGCCAGGAGGACTCTGTGGGGTCTGGGCTCTGGGCTGCCCCAAGCAGCCTCCCAACACCACAGACCTGACTGGAGCAGGGCCAGGAGCCCACAAAACCACTCCCCAACCCTCTTAGAGCCAGGCAGCATGGAGATGCCTCCCTCAGCAGGCAGGTCCCTGCCCTCACCCACGGCCAAATACCACCCCGGTACCTTGAGGATGTGCTGAGCAGTGTAAAAGCCCGCAGGCCCGATGCCCACCACGCAGACACGAGGAGCCGGGACAGGCGAGGACAGCCACCGCTTGAAACCTGGAGGTATGAAGGACAGAGAGGATGTGAGGCTGCATGAGGTGCTAACTCCCAGGCCTGGCCATAGCCCTTCCCTCGAGCCCAGCACCAACCCACACAGGCTCGTCCCCGGGCGCCGGCCATCGCGTGCAGCCAGGCGGTGGAGGAACGACGGGGTTTATGTATCCAGCCCGGCGGCGCGTCCCCCCGAAGAGG